AGAAAGGTACGGTAGCTTGTAAACTTTAGGTAGTGTATTCAAGAAATGAAACTGGGTTTGTTTCATAGTTTAGAAACATTTCACTAATATATTTCGTGAAAACATCACACTGAAAGAATTCAACACAAAAACATAATGTAACATGGACAGCAAATCTATATCATTTACCTAGTGGCCAGTCTATTTGTCTTAAACTATTGTTTTCTTATCCTTATGTAGACACGGGCCAAATTACAATATATGTTAGTATTATTATATTACCTTAAATGTTAAATTTTGCTTTAATCCCAGTTTATTGGATAGTTGTACCGGAGTGGAAAACATTCTACAAAAGACAAAAAAATATTTTCAGTAATAATATAAACTCAAATAAAAGTATCTTTTACAGAACATCATTGATTTACCTAGATGTAGTTTCAGTAATTATAAATCAAGTGAAGTGTGAAAGATACAACAGAAGCGAGTGATTTTATAATGGCAAGGGATAAACAGTATTTCAAAATCAAACCGAGGATAGGGGTTTTACGACATAGGACACCTTTGACGCCGGCAACGCCTTGTTTTCACTGACCCTCTTCAGTGGGAGACCTTGACGCCGTGAGGTCGGCACGAACACATCTTATTCTCATCATTTGTTGGTGAAGGAAAAATGGTAAAAAATGGGGAATACGTGTTCACCAACTAGTTAAACCTTACTTGACCTTAACGACTTAATCAAGGAATTCCACTTGTGAATCATTTACCTACTGTTTAACCGGTTTGTGTTAATTTGAGCGCTCGCCTTCGTAAAAATACGCAGACATTTTGTGTTTACATCGGTTGAGATTATTCGCCCTTCGTAACCAAAAACCTCGCTTTTGACATTGGAAAAGTTGGTAGTTAAATATGAATATTAGATGACAATTTACTAATATATAATTTTCTTGTATGTGACGACATTGTAAAGTCGTAGTTTAAGTTTTCAATGTCGTTAGCGTAACCTCTAAAAAGCCTTAATTACTATCTGAAAGTTTTATTAATGTAATCTTAAGTAGTTTGCAGTGATTACTTAAGTGTATTATGGGAAATTATCAAGGTTTTGGCAGAAAGATTTATCAACTTAACCTCTAAAAGTCCTAATTCTGTGTAAATGTAGATCATTGTAGTGTTAGTTTACACCATAACCAGCGCAGATACTTTTAATCTATCATTTTTACGAGTGAACTCTAAGCGTAGTTTACACTTAAGTGTCCTATGGGGAAATTACAATGTTTTAGCATAACGGTTAATCAACATAACCTCCAAAAACCTGTCTAGATAGATGTTGAACAAAATAAAAGTAGGTTTTCACGGTTTACAAGCAACGTAGATACTTTTATAATGCAATTTTACGAGTGTAAGCTCAGTTAATCACCCTAGTGGGAAATTATTAGGGTTTTGGCACAAAGATAACTCGACTCTCTGACGCCATTGGTTGTTATCAGCTGTGTTATCAGTTTGCATATTTGCTTAACACAATTACCGCGAGTCTCCTGTTATACAGCACGTTTATGGCTTAATTTACCTGGTGTGCCGCAAAAGTGTTTTCCGGTACTGCATAATCTTCACTTGGCTCATTTGTAGACGCTCCCTACGTTTGTTCAAAATGTTCAATTAGATATGTTTTAAATGGTTGTGTGACGAGATATGTTAGTGAAAATAAACAATATGTTACCTTTTTTAACAATATCTTACTTAAAATCTGTGAAGGATAGCGTAAAAATGTGCAAGACGGGGTTACTAGCCTAAGAAAAGAAGGGTTTCAATACGAGAACCACAAGTATATTATCTTTTAAATCAAATTTGGTCCACATTTAAGAAACCATTGCGGGGGTAAAAAAAACAGCTACACCCTTTCCCATGTTAGTTTAAATATTTTTTTTCTGTTGCTAGAAACCTCATTGGCATTTCTTTACAATTTTCCTAGAGAACAGTCCTAACCCGACCTTTCGTTTTATATACTATTTTATAGCTATTGAAAGATTATGTGCTTAGATTAATAAATAGCCCAATGCCAAAATGGGGACTGACAACCTTAGATTTGAATGCACTCGGCTGTACTATACTTGTAGTGGATCTATTTGGAATGCTCTTTGCGCAAAAAGCATTCCGAGTAGGTCTACCAGTGGTTTCCACATATATTTTCCTCCTCTTCTTTCTAAGAATCGAACCATTCTTTCCCAACCTGGCATCAACCTACATATTTCACGCGTTTAGGAACGTCGGACGCGGACCGATATAGTCGGGTTGACGACCCAGTTCCGCAGTTCCAGCTGTTCCCATAGTTCACGGGGCGGAGCTGTTTTTGGCGCGCAAATCGGGTCGTAGCGCGGGTACATTGAGTATTAGGCCATTAGGCTAATCGGTTAATAAGGCTTTGTTTCAAGTTGTGTCACTTGGAGAAAGTTGAGTTGATCAATTCGTGTTGAAATCAGCTGCGAGGTGCGAGTCGTTATCGATGTCACTTCGCATCTCTACCATCCTTTCGATAGTCGATGGTTTTATATTGATTGGTGATATACCGTTTGTGAAAACTGTTTGTGTAAGTGAAGAAGATTTGTTTGACAAGAGTATCATACACATATATAAATCACAGTCATTAGAAATTCAATTCAGTAACTCTATTCGCTTGAGTAACTTTATCACAATTTAGAAAGCAACTCTATCACTCATACCTTTTGGCTTCATAATGTCTACAAACAACTATACAATTTTCTTAAATCGCATATCAATAAAGTTACTAAACGTCTCAGTTAATTTAACTTCCTATCTGCGATTGCATGGGTCAAATGCATTAATCGGAACGATTCCGTCCGCTGCGACGTTCCAGTCTGGTTACCTGTTCCTTTCCGGTCGCCGATTCCAGAATTTCAGCTCCTGAAAGGCAACAGTGACATAGTACTGTTCCTTCTTGTCCTTTTTATCGATTTGACGCAACCGGTCGATCGTCTATGTTCACTGGAGCGCGGAATCGTAAGTGTCAACCGTTTAGCTACTTGAAGACCGTAGCTTGTTAACCAATTGTTCACAACAGTTCAGTTTTAATAAAGTGTAAATCAATACCACCACGATTGTAGAAGAGATAAATTAATTGTGACACGCCTTAAAAATGTGCAATAATCAGCTGATAGTCAGCTGGTGAATTGCATGAAGTGGTACTTGAGAAACCTCTTGTCTAGCCTAGCCCATTCATCAGGTGACAACGTGATTTTTGCCCTCTGTATGATTTTATAAAAAATACGGGATAATTAGTAGGGATACACTGATGATGGAATGAGATTACGAAGTAATTTAAGACACTAACCACAAAATGCCTCTTTTTCTCTGAACGTATATATAAATTAATGTATCAATATAAATAAAATAACCGGAGAAATCAAGAAGAGACATTCTTAAAAAAAATATCGCGAGTTGATGAAAATAATAACAAATAGGGAGTTATTTGAGAGAAATCGTGATCGTAAGTGGTAATATAATAATCGAGAATTCCAATTGCTTAGCACCATTCTCAGTTATTTTCTGAGTATTAACACATAATACTCTTTATTTCGTGAAATTAATATAGGTTTAAACTTTTTGCGTTAAAACATTTTACAAATTATATGGTGATTTTTTTACTGTGACCTTATAACCTCGCAATTCATACTTTTAGACAATGAACCTAACTACAACAAGTAGCAACACAATATTGTCAAAATGTTGAAACAATGTTGAATAACATTGCTAACAATGTTGATCAACATCGAGACAATATTGTTAAGCTACTTGGGAAACACACAATCTTCATCAATTTTTCGCAACGTATCATCGAATATGGGATTTTCGTGTGGAAACACAAATGTTTCTGAGAGATAACATGTCCCTAAGTGCCAGTCCATCTGTGTATGTGAAAATGGTGACTACCAACAATATTGACACATATTGTTGCGCTACTTAACACAATTTTCATCAATTTTTCGCAAAACTTCGTCTATTTGGGATACTCGTGTGGAAACACCAATGTGTGACAGATAACACGTCCCCAAGTACTAGTCTGTGACATTGGTGGTTTAGGGGGGGGGAGGAGGGGGAGGGGGCGTTATCGGCTGATAAGCCAGATATAGGCCGTGATGCAAGCGCAACCCAGTTCCGTTCGTCTCTTCACTTCGACCGCGGGTATTTTCCACACGCTGACCTCAGGTGCCGTCAAAGTCGTGATTTGTTCCACTTTGTTTTTCTATTCCCACTTGTGTTGTGCGCTCTTTGGTGGCTTTTAACATGGAGTGTTTGTGCGCGAGAGTGGATTTGAGGATTTATTTGTGATTGTGAGTGGTGATTTTGAATTTAATTGATAGTTAAGTAAAGTAAATCGAATTAAAACACATTTGGTTTTTAACTGGAGTATAGTTTGATATTTCTAAAAAGTATATGCCATAACATATGTTAGGAAACATACAAGTATTTTTAGGATTCAAGGAAATACCTCTCGGTTTTCTTGTCGGATAAAATTTTGTTCTAGCGTGATACCATTCTCTAACCATAAAACGTAGTCAATTTAAATGAAAATCAATATCATCGTATTAGATGTGTATAAGGATTCCTTTCAACCACGTCTGTCTTAGTATCGTTTGTGTTTAAACCTAATTTCGTTTTTTAACTGAGTTTCGAATTACGGCACTTGTTCTAAAAAAAAAAATAGTATATAAAATATAAAAAAACTCGTATCGATATGTTATGGAGACTCATTTTGGTCATTAGGCTACAATTTAAGCTGTGAACACTGCATGTTGGTCAGAAAAAAATTCAAACGGGGTACTGACAAATATTGTAAGGTATTTTTCGTCAACATTTTGAGGATACCGTGATGGTTCATTTTGTTTATCGTTGGAAAGCGTCAAAATTAATTCAATTTATTGAACTGAATACTACGACACACACATATTGTGTGTATTAGATACTTTATGGCAATGTTGCTGGACTAACTTGTCCGTGTTCTGTTGCAGGTGTAATTTGGTAGACGCAACCGCTGGACACATTCCGTCGTGAGCAAACGTTCATGCCAACCCCCTCCAGTGACGCATAGACAACAACAATGCACATAGAAGTCCAAGTCGCGCTAAACTTCGTCATCTCCTACCTGTACAACAAGCTGCCGAGGCGGCGAGTCAACATCTTCGGCGAGGAGTTGGAGAAGGCGTTGAAAGACAAGTTCAGCGGCCATTGGTACCCGGAGAAGCCGTTCAAGGGGTCGGCCTTCAGGTGTCTCAAGACCGGGGACCCGGTGGACCCCGTGCTGGAGCGAGCGGCTAGGGAGAGTGGGGTGCCTATCCAGGACATCCTGGAGAACCTCCCTCATGAGCTGGCAGTCTGGGTGGACCCTGGTGAGGTCAGCTACAGGATCGGCGAGAAGGGTGCGGTCAAGGTGCTCTTCAGCGAGGCTACCGACGTCCACGAAGACAACTCTGCCGACAGAGAGGTCAACAAGACTTTCAACCCGGAGGCTCAGTGCTTCAGGCCCATCGAGGCGGTCGGTACAGGACTGGCCAACCTGAGTCTGTCACCTCACAAGCCGGCGTCGCCGTTCCCCGTGAGTGCGGCACCCTCCGCGTCCACGTCCCCGGCGCCCCCCAAGACGCCGCCCAGCCCCGCGCCATCCTTCATGCCCCGGCCCGCCCAGCCGCTCACCTTCACCACCGCCACCTTCGCCCAGACCAAGTTTGGCAGTACCAAACTCAAAACCAACAGCAAGAGGGCTAACAGGTAAAGTAACAGCACCTTACTTCAGTTAGTAACTTAATACGAGCATTTCCAAAGAGTAAGATTGTATGATACGCTAATGAAATCTAACCTAGATCCTTGTTCTTTGATGTCTTTGCCGCCTCAAAAGATCGTACAAAACCTGTGATGAGCGCGGTAATCATACATTTAATCTTCTTTGGTGTACAGTTTCCTTAAAATTTATTTATAGTAACTAGGAATCCATGTCGTTTATCAAATAACCAATGACTTAATGGTCTTTAATATTTGTCGATGATGGTTCTTAATGGCCTAGAATCACTTATACATAATATAGTTTAATTGACGTGTCCATTTGTGATCGAACTGTCGTCTAAATTACGACATGTTGAAGATAAAAATCCAATCATTATGCTACAAGCTACAATCTTTGACTATTGATACAACTCAAAGGTCAAACCACTTAAGTTGATTTCGTCTATATGCACACAGATGAAACTTTTAAAAGACAAAACCTAAAGCATCTATTTTATAATTTGAAATTCATCATCCTATGTCAAATAAATTTCACAAACAACAGTTTCCAAATCGATTTGGGATTGATAGGATGAAGGTTGCACTGTACTGTAACTTTATATGTAACAAACGAACTTTGAGTAGACGACCTCTCGATCTAGAGTCAAGAGTCACTTGTGTAAGATAAAACCAGCTATAAGCTCTTCGTTGTTTGTCACTGACGAATCACAAACTCTTCTTTTCCTCAATGGACTGTCTTGACAACAATATGGTTAGCCCGCACATTTTCGGCAATGCGAGAGTGAGCACGTGAAATGCTCAATATAAACGAGGAAGAAAGGTTTCTGTTCTGAGCAGGGAAGCCTTATTTAGTGCTGCACGTGGCAACACTGTATGATAGGAAGAACTGTTAAAAAATGTAAACGTAATATTTTGTACGAAATTGATTAGATGAATTAGTTTATTTACAGTTTAGGTATATTTCTAGAAAACTAATTATCATTAAGTAATATTTATTGACTTCATTTCTGTCATAGATTTTTTTTATTTCAACAGATCAATTCAAGATTCTGATTTATATTTTGTAGGTATCTTTGTTTATTTATATTTCATCTCATTTGTTAACTCTTCTACAGTTCACATACATCTTCAAGCTGTGCAGTATTTCCATATTATCACCCAAACTATATCATAGGCAGATTGTATCCATTTGAACTCAACATCTTGACTCTCAAATGAATTTCCATATAATTTTTTAGGCACTATTAAGGGAGTATGTTTTATTTATGCTATTATCTAGCAGTGTTCATGATATCTCGTAATCTTTATAGTTTCTAAAGTAAGGTAGGCCTATACATTTGCATATCCTCTCGTTTCAAATTTGTCTGCTGCTATACAAAATATCTATATTACCTGCTAACCCTTGCATAATATTAATTCCACAGCATGCTCCACAAAAACTTATAACTTTTATCTACTCTGTAGTAGAAAATAAATATGACCTTCTTAAAACAGATTACTTCAGTAGCGTGTTTATTTCCATGTTATCTCAGCAAATCCATCCCATCTTGATAGTACTTCCATAATAATGTTTAATGTAAGGTTTCTAGTGTATTTTCAAACTACATCCATTTCTCTACCATGTACAATATTCCATTTATCCAAGCACTACTTATTGCTAATGCTGTTCTTGAAAACCTCATAACCTTCTCCTCTTCAGTGTTCTCCGATTCACCAACCGATCTATCTTGATGCAACGTATTTGTCCAAAACCCCTTCAGATTTCTGTTGTCTACTCCAATTTCCCCACACCAATGTCACCTCCCAGTACTAATCTCTTCTCTCTTTGCAGGATGTCACCCACGGAGTTCTCCAACTACATCAAGCAGCGGGCAATGCAACAGCAACTCCATCACCCGCCCACGTCTCCGGGTGCCCGGAGTCTCTCCCCCGCCCACCACCCAGCGGCCGCCCATCCCGGAGCTGACTACTTCTTCCCCCAGTCGGGCTACCACTACTCGGGCTATCCTCATCTGCCTGATCTCTACCACCCCAAGTTCCCCTCGTCCTACCTGGAGCCCGGATCTCAGTACTACGGGCCAGTGCCGGGCTCCGCCCCCGGACCTCTCTCGCAGCCCCAGCCCTCGGAGAAACAACAACTCCTCGAGTCCATCAACAACTTCGGCTTGGCCTCCTACCCTGCGGCGGCTGGCACCCCCTACCAGCACCTCCTGGTCGCCAACTAACCCCCCAGCAACATACAAGTATTATAAATTGTTATCTTTTTTTAATTAATTCTAAAACGTTAAAAAATACCTTTGTAAATTTTATATATATCCGATTTTTTAGTGATTTTTTATATCTTCGTCGTTTATGACGTATTAGTTGAAGTTAGAGTCGGTTTAGAGCCGTTAGTGTGAACAAGCCTTTCTGAGATCCGGCACCGCCTCCTCCCTACAATATACACTCCCGTCTCCTCGCACGCGAGCCACACTTGAGTCAGTTATTGCAACATGTTTAGTTGACAACTTATACAAAAGTCTTTGTTATAAATTTTATTGGTTATTTGTTAAAAATATACTTGATCCAAATGATGAATTTAGTTTGTTGTTTAAGCTCAATAGATTTTAAATTTAGTCGAGTTAATTTGTTTGATGATTTAAGTTCACATTTCCAAATTTATTAATATAAATTATTCAAGCTGTGAGCAACTTACCCAGCTTCAATCCTCCGCCAAGCCGTCCCACCTGCATGCCAACTCCTCGCTCAATAAGGCTATTCACATTTTCCCAGTATTTCTCTTCGTAGGATAATTTTATATCAATTTTATATTCTCTTTTGTACTTTCTGTAATTATTTACCCACAGATTCTCATCTCTAGATGTTTCACTGCGGAATCACTAAAGTTGTCCATCCTCGGGTCCGTTTTCGGCTCGGCGGACCCGTCTCAGCGTAGTTATAAGCGTATTAGTCCGGCTTATATGTGTCTAGACCCTGTAAACGTAAATGTAAGGGAACTACGCGACTCTTCTTTTTACAGTGGAAACGTAATCAAAATCTATGTGAATTTTTTGTTACAAGTTTTTCAGTATACCGTACAGTGGGTACTAGACTTCTTTTTTATTTTAAAGCGTAGAGAAAATAAAATTATGTTAGTAGATAAGTAAATCGTTAATATTTTTCTAATTTTGTAATAAAATAGTTGTGTTAACTAAATAAATAAGAAGGATATAAAGTACATACTCAAGAAGTGTGCAACTAGTCATGTACGGAAGAGGCAGCTAGCAGCAGAAGCTGGCGGAAAGTCGCCAGTCGGGACGATGGACAATATATGCCGCACCGTATTGTTGTAGTATCTGTTTTGTTTTTTTACTTTTATATCTCTATAAGGGCGGCCAGGTACTAGCGAAGACTGTGGCCAGCGGTCCCGGCTGGTGTACAGGGCTGTGGTTTCAAGGGGTGTTCCCTCGTTCATAATCTTCGATGTGATTGTTACTTGTAGACCTTAACTTCTTACATATATATTTTTTAAAGTGAAACCGCACTACGTTATTCATGCATGGAGTATATATTATAGATTCGTTTAATCGATACAGATGATGTTTGTACTTTAGTATTTTTGTACTGTGACTATCGATAAAGCTGTAAAAAGTAGTTTAGATTTACATAGTTTTTAAAATAGTTTATTATAATCTATGTGGTTGTGTTCCTTTTTCACTGATTTTCACCGACACTGTTAAAGAATCTAGTTTGGTAGTTAGTCGCTATTGTTTATACTTTTACAGCTGGATTTAAATGTTCTGATGAGGGTGTATGTGTTGTGTTCTGTACATGAGAGGGTGTTAGCATCACTGTATGTAGGGGCAACCTACCCCTGCTGCGGTGGTCACCAACCGGTGTCGTAAGTTACCTGGATTTGTTTCAACTTGTTGGCCTACAAGTAATGGAACAATTCTACACAAATATCTATATTTCGTTTGTTATGTTTCATATATTATTTTTATTTAAGAGTTTAGCTTGGAAAATGTTGTTATTATTTTTGTATAAACTTCTTTTTATCACTTTTGTCACAATGATTTATCTTTTGAAATAAAATTTGATAAATAACGGTTTGTTTTTAGTTTTTCCTTTTTTATTTTTTTCACCTACTCTAAGAAACACTTGGTGTTAAGATACGTAAATGATGTATTGCAGACAAATAGATAAATTATCAGGGATACGAACAGTATAGTGGTTAAATATCTAACTAAACTAAGTAGTTAATTTTCACAAATTCGTAACTCAAATAGACTTAACACTTTTAGTTGGGGTCGCCCTTGACAACGCAACTCAAAAACTAGTTTATAAATTAGATAGAAAAGTATATCAATTTTCAGTATATTTTCCAGGAATTGACAGTTACCTTTTTTAGAACTGTATAACAATTTTAAGTGTATTTCAGGTAAAAAAATAGTAAAATATATTAGCCAATTTACAGTTATGTTTCACAATAAAGTTACCAATTTGATGTCTAGGCCTGGGGCTTATCCGTGTTTTTTGTGTCACTATTTTTCTATAAATGTTAGGTAAAGCTCGCATAGGCCTAACTTGCATGTCTCACTGTCATAGATGTCGCCACTCCTGTGTATAAATGTGAATAAACTATATATGTATATACATATACTTTTTCATAATGTTGTAATGAAGTTACAAGTTTTTAAGTTTATATTAAACTGGTTTCGCGCATTCATAATCTTGTGGTGTTCTTCTTTCTTCCTGTTTGGTAATTTGTGGTTAAGACTACTGGTAAATGTTAGAAATTGAGTTCAATTATTGTAGTTTTAAGTATAGCAAACTTTTGTGTGGCAAATTTTAATTATTTTATACTAAACCAATAATATTTTACTAAAAAACACTTTATTAGTTCCCTTGTAGCAGCAAACCTAGGTACTCTTTACCTAATGTTATTTAAATAGATTTAATTGAAAATCATTTCAGACAAATGGAAATTCGCTTAGTCGGCAGGTTTGCTGCGGCGGGGGTATTTTATCATAATGGTTGGTTAGTGGAGTTTAAAATAATAGAAAAAACACTCAACGCCAGTCGCAAATCATACCATCTTAACGTTTTCCAATCTGTATACAAGGAGTCCGGTAAGTAAACATCCAAACTCCGGGTAATGGGCCCTTTGATAGAATAAAGGTGGTAAAATAAGAGTAAGCTAGTCAGGAAGCACCTCATTTTGCCATATTTTACCACTCAAAATCGTGATATTTCAGCTATTTTCTAGTCAACCCTTTCCACATCAGTGTCGTTTGATAGAAAATTTGAACTTTTAAATTAAAATGTTGGCATTTCTACATTAAATTTTAGTAGTTTAAATTATTGAAATTTAAATGGCTTCCATTTTGAGATTTTAAATTTGGCAAAGATTTTTTCTAACATAGGTCCTATTAAACCTAACATAAAAATAGTATGCTTTCTTAAAGGCTTGGAAAATCAAAAAGCAAAATTGTCATGTAACAAATACAAAATTGAGGATACCTGGTAAACAAAGCGATTTTGGTAGAAATTCTTTATTGATTTCCTGTACTCTTTGTTTTATTCCAAGGAATCATTTCCCGGAGCTTGGCTGTTTATTTACGGAACACCCTGTACATTTTGATATTTAATCAACTTAAAAATATCAACCAAATTAAACAATGTCTTAAAAAGTAATAAAGCATCTTAAATTGTTTAACCATTAATAAAGCACGCACGATAAACTTTATAATAAGAATCATAATGTCATCATTTTTTATAAGAAGAAATAAAAAATTATTCAATTTTACAATAGGATGAGAAGGTTTGCTAGATATCCTCAAAGGCAATTTTTGTGTTCAAAATTATGCTTTGAATTCCAGACCAAAGGTTATCTCATAAAATAAAATCAAGTGAAGTAACGCAGGTGCATTGGCTTTTTCATTTGAATGTTAACAAACTGCACAATTAGAATCTGGATAATAAAGTAAAATATTGAAAGTAAAACCTTCAAGTAAAAGATTAAATGGGATTTTTGACCAAAGAAGATTTCATATTGAGGTATGTATTATCAAATAATCTAATATAATAGCACTTTTAAAGAAATCTTGTTATAAAGAATGTCACAGCCTTGTTATGAAGTTCAACACAGTTTAATTATGTCATTTTGTTGACTGGTCATAACTGTTAAATTGTTTGTACAATTGACAAACTGGTAGGCACAAATTTAAATCAAAGAACTATAAAATGTACAGTATTTAGAACAAAATACTTGTGTCAAATAACAATTGTTTGATCACTCACTCCCTAAACTGGGAGATTGAAAATTACTCGGCTTAAGAGTTATTTTGCAAAACAGTTAATTACAGACCACCGAGAAAGGAATTTAGAATATTTCTATAGATCTTTGCTAAACTGAACTTAAAGGGTTCTCCGCTTGAATGGACATTCAAACGCTCTTTATAAGTTAAGGTAAATGTTATTTTTTGCTCCTTTAAGCTTCGAAGGTCGAAATTATACTGTTTAATTAAACTAATTTGGTGCATGCTATCTAAACTTAAAAAACATTTCTGATACATACCAATAGAAAATATGACCTCCTAATTTCAACACAAGGTCTTCAATTCTGAAGGTCACTTGTTCGAATCCAAGTGAGATAGTTTCCAGACCCAGATGTCATTTGTCATTGGGCTATGGATTAATGATGCTATCTAACAAAAAGGTCGACGTTAGTAAACAAAACCAGGGTATGGACCCTTTTACAACGTAATAAAATGCGATTGACATGGAAACACACAAAAAATACGAATTCACTGAAATGTTGCATAAATATAGGAGCACATTTCAAAATATAGCTCTACTTACCTCCAGGATTTCAAGGTTTATACGTACGGCTTTGGAAAGAAATTTAATCTTTATTTTGAAACGAAAAGAATAAACTGTAATATTTGCATTTGCTCAAATTAATACTATCACGGCCTCTATCAAGGCTGCTGTGAGACAAAAGTGGCAACGTCGCAGCGCCGGCCTGCCGAAACAGCTGTTGTACTAATTCATAATGGAGCTTCTGCGCAATGTTTGTGTTTACACGTTTGTTATCATGGTGCGACGTTGTCACACAAGGCCTTGTATTATAGGAGACTATCAAATAAATACTTAAAAACAGCTGATCCAAAATAGTGAAATTACAATTTTGTCCACTATAGAAGCTTTAATTATAGAAGCTATAATATGCTTAAACCAGTTGGGAACTGTTAGTGTATTTCTGTGGTTATAAATTACAAAACCCAAGTAAATCACAATAAAATTAATCACCCAGTTATGAAGCAAGAATGCATTTGTAAGCTACAAATCGATTGAGAACAATCAAGACAAACAAGCATTATTGGGATGAATGGATTGTTTATCGTAGAATGAGGTTTTTGGAAGCCGTTATCTTAAGATCTAAATCTAAATGGCTGTTTCATACTACATTACAAATGTTTAAGCTATCTGAGGGCATCTTATCACCTCTTAACTACCTCATTATCAGGACCTTGGCTTTAGAACGCACACTCTTATGTAACTCTTTGAATTCTTCATGGACCACTAAATTAGTACACAACATGCTCTCGTCACAGCAAATATGCCAAGTTTGTAGATTTAGATATACTAAAGGCCATCCAGTGGTCGAAAACTCGACCAAAAATATGTAATGTACAGACCACGAATACTAGAAAAATACCGGTATGGATCATGAACATAAACAAATGACGTTTTGGGCCCGAATCCTATACTAATAGCATTAACATACGGTTTAGACAGTGCCATTTAAATAATGTTTACTTTCGGGCCAAAACGTCATTTATTTATGTTTATGAACCATACCGGGTCTTTTCTCTTTTCTTTTCGTTAAAAAACCCTCTCTTCTCTGTTGAAGATATTTTTGAAGAGGTCAAAATGCTATAAATCCTGCCGCCAATCTGTAAATATTTAAACAGTAAATTAAAGTTTTAGTTTTTATTTTCTTTGTGACGATGGACTGCATAGTTCGAATTATTAGTTTGGTTAGTTCCGACTCGATCTATCCAGCAACTGCTGGTCAAAGATGAAGAAAAAAAGTATGAAGTATGAAGTTTCTATTTTCACCACACGCTTTAAATAAAACATGTAATTGGAATTGCATTTGTTTTGATTTTCCGTTTATATTTCGTTGATATTTCGTCACCAGCATAGCCCATGTTCTTTTAAAATTCATTTTTTTTGCTTACTTTTGAACCTATTTCATTGATTAAAAGATCGCCATTTCAATGTAAAAAATACGCCCATATGAGTTCCTTTTAATTGACAATATTAGTAAGAAGAAGAATATTCTCTAGGAGTATCAAAATTGCTACATCTGGTCCATATATAGGATGACTTTAGTTTCCCAAGTCAATGATACAAGTAACTTAACAACGCTTTCAAACGTGTCATTAATGTACAAGCAAAGCACATTTGCAGCGTATAATAATTGTTATCAGTAACCTATGTCGGATGAAAACCAGCTGATAACATAGTAGGCGTTACATGCTTGGAATACAATGGTACCAACCTACACCGAGTAAAACAAAAAGATCTGCACTATTCTGTAATACGATTTAATGTAGAAAGTTGAACACCCTTCGAACATGATTAGCGATAAATTAAATATATGTAAATTGTTTACTACATGCGGTAATTTTGTAAATAAATATCTGATCAGTGTTTCCATTGAAAAATGTCTTTTGTTAACTACGTGGTTTTTGTCATATCGCATAGAAACGGGAACGAGGGACCAAAAAATATATAGGCCAATATGATGTAATATACATTACGTCATGCTGCACCTCTTAACAGTTATTTGACCAACAAAAATACCAAAACTTTCGTACATTATCAGTTTATTTTATTTGTGAATCATTAGCCCCAAAAATAATTTCTACTTTGTATTTTGTTTAGCTATTAAATACAAACATATGTTCCTTTTACTAGGCGCATTAGATATCACTCCGCCAACACAAATAGTCAGATTACTTATTTCTATATTCGAATTAGCCCAAATGTAGGCCTATATGATGGGGTATATATTTTAGTTATATAAACAATACGACCGGATAGTTAAAGATAATAACGACTAGATGATATTTTTATTAGTTGGTATTATTTTCTTTGGCAAAATTAGCGGAGAAGCTTGTAGCAAATTAATGGTGTCCCCGACTCCAGCTGCATTATATTTTTCACTAAAATTAGTAACTTTGATGCTGCAATGAATGTATTGAAAACATCTCTTTTCACTGTAGTATAACAACAAACCGTATCATTCCAAATTTTACTTGCGTTTATCGTTGGATTAAAGTTTATAATTTACTCCAAATAAACAACAGGCAATGGTTTAGCGATATTAACGTTCCTAGTTTTATTGTTAAATACTTAATTATTTATGCAACAACCTCTTGTTAACATCTGCAAACAATATGAAAGCAATAGCTTATACCATACATTTAAAACTTAGAGACAAACTCATTTAATGGAAGTTGTCCTAAAGTGGTCACCCTAGTATGGCGAGTACATAGTTCACCTCACAATTTAACTGTGTTTTACGATCCTCGCTGGATAATTTAATTGTTTATCAAGAAGGCCTATTCTTCTTCCACAAACATCATTGTTAGGATATTAGATTTTTCAGTTATTGTTCACCTTTAGGTTTAGGTTTTTTAGGTTTTGTTCACCTTT